TCATCTTTATAGCCTGAACAATTGTAATATCCTGCATTTTACTTTCCATGTCATGCTACAGACAGCCCGCCCTGTGTTGTACGATGCCAGCCTCGTGAACGCAATGATTGCTGACGTAGACCGCATTGACATCAACAGCATCAGCTCCCAAGCCTTCCACAGCTGCAGCAGCAGTGCCAGCGAGGATGAGGACATTCAGCTGAACGCGGAATGTATGCTCGTTGTTTCTTTTGTCATTGACTATGTACTTAATTTCAACGCAAAATGTATGCCCGTTGCTTCTTTTGTTGTTGACTATGTATTTGAGCTCAAAGCAAAATGTATGCCCGATCTTTCTTTTGTCATCGACTATGCACTTGAGGTCAAAGCAAAATGTATGCCCGTTGTTTCTTTTGTCATTGATAATGTATTTGAGCTTAATGCAAAATGTGTGCCCGTTATTTCTTTTGTCATCGACTATGTATTTGAGCTCAACGCGAAATGTATGCCCGCTGTTTTCTTTTGTTGTTGACTATGTACTTGAGGTCAAAGCAAAATGTGTGCCCGTTGTTTGTTTTGTCATCCACTATGTATTTAAGCTCAACGCAAAATGTCATTGACTAGGTACTTGAGCTCAAATCAAAATGTATGCCCGGTGAATATTTTCTTATTGACTTTTTGACGTCAGGTAAGAATATATGCGAGTCTCACTGACTATGTATGTGAGCTTAACGTATCTATTAACATGTCTATGTATTTAAGCTCAGAGCAAAATGTATGCAGGTTGAATATTTTCATACTATGTGTTTGATATCAGTTGAGAATATATCCAAGTCTCACTGACTATATATGCGAGCTCAACGCAGAATGTATGCACGTTGAGTCTTGTTTCTGTGATGCTGGAAGTTGTCCTTATCCTTATATAATACAGTAATAGGGCATGATCGTTCAGCAAATATCAGCTCCTTTATATAATTTTGATAAAGGTCTACATTTTTAGCTATTGTTGCCATACAGACAATAAACTTCTCACTAACGCCAGTCAGCCAGTGAGTCGTTGTCAGTGTTGAGCAATTGCAAATTGTATTCTGTTCGAAAAGAAATATATCATTTCAACCTGTCAGAAGTAAGAGTTCACATGCGTAATTTTGGCTTATTAGGTAATAGTAACATTGTTGTCCCAATTATTACAGTTTTACACACTAGCTCACTTCTGATTGGTCGACCTTCAGTTTAGCTCACTTCTGATTGGTCGACCTTGAGGCTCGTAACTTAGTACAAGGTTACGGGGTGTTCCGCAATGACGTTGATATCGCGTCTTGTATATTTCAGCATGCCAGCGTTTTTAACACTTCAAAATCATCGACAAACTGGGTCTAACACACCACCCCTTTAGAGAGTGAGGAAACCTATGTCACAGGCATTCTTTTTCTCTGGAAAAAAAAACGTAAATGCAAGACAACCCAGAAAGTAAACAACAGAGCGGTACACCCGTAACCTCCACCAATGTAGACCAGTTTAAAAAAACGTATAAATGGAATGTGGCCTACTTTGTTTGGGGAGACTAAAGTTTGTTTAAATAAAGTGGTGACAAACAACAGTCCTAAAATGGCACCTAAGTTGACCGCCCCCGCCCCCTACTTTTCTTTCCCCCCCCCCCCTTCAAAAATTGCACTTAGGTGCCTTTGGTATAGTGCCAATAAATAAAACGATTTGTACAATCTGCGCAGTTCTTCGAGAGTTCAAAGAGTTGCTGCGGAAGCAAGCAACAGTGGAAGCGTTCACGGAATGGCTAGACATCGTAGTGGAGCAGAAAGTTGTCAAGGTAGGAGTTTTATCTCAACATGTTTGTTGCCTTTCAAATATGTTTTATAGATTTTAACCTTATTTGCTGGTGGTTTGTGTGTGTGAGTGTGTGCGTGCGTGCGTGCGTGCGTGGGTGCGTGCGTGTGTGTGTGAGTGCGTGTGTGTGTGATTGTCACAAATAGTGTAGTTTATATTGTGTGCATCTACAGCATGGCAATAACTAAATCAATTTCAGTGCTATAAACATTCACAATAAAGTAATGAGTATTTTTAAATTATTATAGTTCTTTGAACTTTAGACCTAGGACTTGAACATTACCAAAGGAAACTAGAGAAAACTAGCCACACGAGAACTGAGATGTTTGAGAAAGTATGCAAACAAAATAAGAAGAGATCACGTGAGAAATTAAGTAAATGAAAGAACTATTAGAACAATAAAGTAAAAAAAAAAGTAAAGATCCCTTTTCACGCCTTTCGGCTCATAGGGCATATAGGCAGAGCGTCCCATATTTTTACAGACCATCAGCACTCTGTGGGTAATGTGGTCAGCATTACGCCGGCTGTCTTTACTTTCCCAGGACAGTCCATCCTGGTACCCATTTTAGGCTATTGGAACAATACATATTGTTAAATTCATTGTGAAGCAAAGACTGAAATGGTCGGCCGTCTAGTGAGAGTTAACTCGACGAAACACCATGATGCATAAGAAAACCTCGAAGAAGATGGAACGAAGGCGGCATACCAATACAGCATACCAAGCAAGAACATGATCCGGTTAGGTTACCTATCGTCTGTTAAACTGTGACACATAACAGCACATAACAGAAATTGACCACACACACAAAAAGAAGCCATTTGAGATATATTTGAAGATATCTTGTCATTAACAAAAATAACATGGTAATGGTTTCATTCATTATAACTAGAGAAGCCAAATGTTACTGCAGATATAGAATAGAAAACGAACAGAGAATAATATTAATACTTTTCCCATCCACCAAAATCTACATTTGTAATTTTAAAAATACCCACCAAAATAATGTATGTCACTCCACATTTGTGATAGTTATATATATTGAACGGTAGTTGCCACTGCCAAAGTCAGATTTCTCAGGTATGCACTGGCCAAATGTGGGGGGGGGGGGGGGGGAGGACCCATTTAGGTAGACGCATGATGTGATGTTATCCTGGAGACAACCAGTTAATTCCATGATATACACACATAATGACAGTGAAAAGACAGTTAAGGACGGGCTGTCGCAGTTTGCAAGAGGCAAAATGCAGCAGTTTAAGAAGAGGATACGTCTAAGAGAAAATCAACCTCACTGCAATAGCGAATCAACATTTTTATTTGGACTATGAGGCAGAGACTGCAACTCCCGCATTGGACCCACTCATAGCAGATGCTGTTTCCAAAGCCGGCAGCACAACTCTATGGTACCCAGGGACTGACGGCTGTCTACGTGAGGAAGACATAAATAATATGTAGTCAAAGACTTTCATAGTAAACCGTACAGTGAAGCAATGGACTATGGGATTGTGCGCTTTATTCAATAGGATTTGAATTGCCGTGCGAGGGTTTGAACTGTGCGTAATTGTCGGTGCCTGTGGCTTATGCGTTGCGAATGCGCCTTGTAACGCCGGGGTGACGGGTTTAATCCCAGCGGACGGTTGGTCTCAAGTTGATTTCGACAGTGATACCGAGAGCTGGCCGTTCAAGGGCAATAGTAAACTACTGAAAGTAAAATTTGCCAGAAAACCACAACAGCCCTCCCCACTCCCCCCCCCCCCCAAAAAAAAAAAGATTGGTTTTGCAACGGCCTGTAAAGGATACGCAGCTAACTAACTAACGTGACTGATTATATGTTGATGCAATTCTGTATTATACACCTTAAAATATTTTTAAAAAAATATGACAGAATAAAGTGTGTAGTATTAGACCTTCCTTCGGGGGCCGATAGGGGAGCGTCTAACTGCTACACTACTGCGACTCCCACATACGAAACTTTTCATTGTGAGCTATTATTTTTTTACTAATTTTTTTAGTTTCCTTCGGTTTTGAGGTCACTGTTACTCTACACAATTATTTATTTCAGCCCAGCAAACAAAACGGTAAAACATTCAAAAAGAGAGCACAAGATTACCTTCTTAAGTGGTCATTTTTCGGAGCTAGAGTCATGCACAACCTGACCCTCAACAATGCCCAGAGTTTTGGTGAGTTAAATGATTTCTCCAGTGCTTAGATTTGACACCTGCCGAAACCATCTGATTTAGACACATAAATTCACTCATTATCATCTAGTTGACCCTGCTGCACTTTACAGTATCAAAGTGAAATATAAACTTCTGAGAGTGAGCATTTATGCCTTTGTATATAAGTATTACTGGTTCCCAGTAACATCAGGAGTAAGACAAGGTTGTGTATTATCACCTTTACTTTTCATAATATTTATGGACAATATTAATAAAATAGACATAACACCAACAGATGTCGATAAACAGGAGGACTTCAATGAGCTGCTCTTTGCCGACGATCAATGCATTTTTCACAGTGATAGTAAACAGCTGCAAGACAACATAAACCTACTACACGACAGTTGCCTCAAGCATCATTTGAAGATCAATACTGAAAAGACAGAAGTCATGAGCATAAGTAGAGAGCAACAGACCATCGACATAAAGATTCTAAATCACAGCCTAAAACAAGTGCAAGAATTTAAATACTTGGGAAGTATCTTTACATTCAATGGTATAAGAATAAACTCACAGGGAGCAAGTACAGCGGGGATCTACAGTCATCAGTAGAAATTATCCTCTTTCGACACACGTTTCGGCCCACGATTCCTAAACGTATTCGGAGGTGGGCCCACCTGAGTTCATGAAGCTCAGGGCTGCTTCCCCGCCGCACAGAATTACCGGATGGTGTTATACTTTCGGCCAGAGACAAGACGACTTGGTGGTTTCGAAGGAGGTACTGTGAGATAAGAAGCCGCCACGGCAGCGTAATTAGAGCAGTCCGCATGCCTGGACGACCGAGCGACAAGCTTACTTTGGTTTACCGGACACATCTTGGACTTTTATTAGCAGTTGGCAGAGAGACACTGGCAGACAATTCGTACACGATGGACTTTTCAAAGGGATAAGAAACTCTTTTCCACTAGATACCCGGACCAACTCACCGAGGCCCGTCCCCTACGTTGTTGCGTTGCGTCCACAACCAGCTAGAGGCCCTTTCGGCCACCTCTCCCAGTTTTTTGAGTGCCCGTTTCCGTTCATTACCGCGCAATCCTAACTCTTTAACCACATTGTAGAGCGAAGTGGAAACGAGGCCTCTCGCTCCCACTTCGACGGCAAATACCCGCACTGTGTAAGCCTCGTTTCTCCTCAAACCGGCTGCTAAATCACTGTATTTCTCGAGCTTATACAAATGATTCTCCTCCATCCGCGACTCAAACGGGACCGTCAACTCAATCAGGATGAGTTGCCGTTTTTGCGCAGAATGGAGAACGATGTCCGGTCGCAGGCCGGTTTTACGGATCAACTCGGGATACCGTTCATGTCCTGGCAGATCAACCGCCAGTAACCAGTCCCTCGCAGAGTCTAGTACAGATGGAGCGAATGCGTTTTTGTTGACCTTACCGATTGGAACCTGCCCAGCCTTGAGGAAACGAATGGGGGCGATACTAGAACTGGCTCTGGCGTTAGCCCTCATTCTAGCCTGGTCGACAACGGCTGCTAACTCCTTTAGCACCTTGTTGTGGCGCCAGGTATAGCGGCCTTGACCTAGAGCTTTCCTGCACGCGGACAGGACGTGCTCAAGAGTTTGCTTTGATTTGCACAACGGGCAAGTCGGATCGTTGGTCGCAGACCATTTAACCATGTTAACACCGGACGGTAATACATCGTACGCCGAACGAACGATAAAGCTCAGTCGCAGCGGGGTCATCCGCCAGATCTCACCCCATGTGAGTATTCTCGGCAATGCGCTCTCCAGGCTGACCCAATGGCCCTGCTGCGACTGTTGGGCTGCTTTCTGGACCCGAACCTCGTTTTCGTTGTCCCTCACCGTTTGTATCACCATGTCTCGGCGCTCTTTGGCTGAGGCCTTTGACCACCAATTGACCTTCCCGTGCCCTAGGCCTCGACGGTCGGTTTGTGTGTAACCCATTACCTCCTTCAATTTTAGTGCGTTCTGAGCAGATTCAATTGCATCGAGGACTCTCCACTTCTGGTAAAATAGACAGAGAGATCGAAGCAAGAATCCAACAAGCCAACAATGTCGCATACCAGCTTGCCCCAATTTTAAAACACCCTGCTGTCCCAGCTGAGATAAAAAGACAAATTATAAATACAATCTTTATACCGACATTAGGTTATCAATGTCAGACTTGGACATTAACAAAAGAACACGAGAGACAAATTATAAATACAATCTTTATACCGACATTAGGTTATCAATGTCAGACTTGGACATTAACAAAAGAACACGAGAGAAGACTAACCACCTGTGAAATGAGATGTTTGAGAATGGCTGCGAATAAAACCAGAAGAGATCGAGTGAGAAACGATGTGATTACAAGAACTATTGGAACCATACCCATCGTTAAATTTATTGAGAAGCAAAGAATGAAATGGTTTAGTCACCTAGTGAGAATAAAACCAACGATGCCAGCATCAAGAGCATACAACATGAAAATCGAAACACCAAGAGGCAGGGGAAGACCAAGAAGAAGATGGATTGAAGGAGTCACGGACAACTTGAGACTTCATAACATCATGGCATATGAAGCGACTGAGCGCGCCCTGGCTCGGTTGCCGATCATCTGATAGACTGCGACGCCTAGCGGCACAAGCAGATTTTAACAAAAGAAGAAGATATAAGTATTCTAAGAGGCTGCTATTCTACATCAGTTATTTGTATGGTCGGCCTCCTTATCAATTTCCAGCTGGCTCTATACGCACTAGTGTGCAAAACTCTTGTGATTTTAAAGAAGTAGTTGCTATGACACTTGTACGTTAACCGTACGGGTAGCTCAGAAGTTTTTGCCTTGTTCCATAAAAGAGACCATAGCTGGGCTGTAAAGTGTAAGTCGTTTACATATTTTAGAATCTGCCATAACATGTGCATTAGCACTATGCCAAAAATCAGCTTAATCCTTATTTCGAGAAAATCGCCTGCCAAATGAAACTTGTGTAGTTGTGCGAAAAGTCATACTTCAATTTGTCCTATCTGAAGTAGGAATACGCTTTTGAAGAGTGTAATGATAAAATGTGTTTCACCTTTCCACTTTTCCAGATAATAGTGTTATATTGTGGTATAAGTAGACCTGGGACTCACAGCCCATGATGATGGCGAGTGTGACTAGCGAGACTGGCTCGTGTGAAGAAAAGTCCTCCACAATTGTACGGCGCATTGATTTTTACATCGTGTCCGAATTGTCTGCCAGTGTTCCTCTGCCAACTGCTAACAAAAGTCCAACATGTGTCCGGTAAACCAAACGTAAGCTTGTCGCTCGGTCGTCCAGGCTTGCTGACTGTTCTAATTAGGCTGCCGCAACGACTTCTTATCTCACAATACCTTCTGCGAAACCACCAAGTCGTCTTGTTCCTATCCGAAAGAAAACACCATCAGGTAATCTCGTGCAGCAGGGTACCAGCCCTGAGCTTCATGAACTCAGGTGGGCCCAACTCCGAAAGTGTCTAGGAGAATCGTGGGCCGAAACACTTGTCGACGAGGATAACTTCTACTGATGACTGGTAGATCCCTGCTGTACTTGCTCCCTGTGAGTTTATTCCTATTACAGCCTGCCATTCGAATTGCATCCTTATTCCAAGCACCCAATGAAGCTCAAGGGCTATGGCGAATTAACACCTATTTTCTAGCCTGGGGCTTCCCAACGAGGCTGGCGTTAGCTGAATAGTAACATTCGAAAATGTCGCTCACACGTCATAGGAAACTTGTGGCGCCTTCGTCTACGCCAACTGACAAGGACTTATAAAACCGGTAACTGCTGTTTCTCGATTTGATTCCGATGACTGTTAAGGTCAGAAATGAAGTTCCTCCTGTCCAAGGCACAACGTTTGGGCATTATTGTGGAAACCTCGTGTTGTCCATGTGTCATGATTTCTCCTCGGTCTACCTTGTTTACTCCAAATGAATGCTAACACAAGTACGTTTGGAAGAAAGCACGCTGCAGAAGCAGCCGGAACAGAGGAGCAGTGCTCTATCTGTTTGGCTGTCGGAGCTTTCCTCCTAGACCAGCTGTCACCCAAGGCTTAGTGCCAGGTCTGACCTGCCGTAATATATAGTTCTCAGGCTGCAGTTTCCTCTTCCTATGACAAGGCTAGTTTCCTCGCAAAGGTGCTGCTCTTCCCGAAGCCGTTGGCATATTGTGACAAATGACACAAATAAAAGCCCCAAAAATGCACTTATGTGAACATACTCTAAATTGCAACTAGGTGACCTTAGTGTAATGCCGTTGGAGATGAGATGGTGAGTCCCTCCATTGCCGCATTTCCTTCACAGACGATTCCAGGACATTTATGGAAATTGTAATTTGCCCATTTCACGAAGCTGGGTGGCCCTTAGGTAAAGTACAATTTGTACACAACTGCATTATACTCATATTTCCACTTTACCTCGCTTATCTTTAATTGTAGTTTTAAATTAACTATTTCGGAACTATCCATTTATTACCAAAATTAAAAAAAAAAAAATTATGGGAGAGAATGGGTTGAAAAATTTGATATCTGGTATTGACAGAGTTAAACATTTATCACTTTCTGTAGCATCCTTTCACCTCATTCGGATGTTGCTGGACGAATATGTTCTCCTGGCCGTTGAGTCTCAGTTACATGCAGAGAAAGACCAGGAGCTTCAGTCGTTGCTAGAAAAACACATGAAACCAGGTACTTAAACAAATCTATCAACTGAGTTATTAATTAGGTATGTAGTACCTTTCTAGCTACATCCCTAAGACCCTATTTAAATTACTGCCAAACTAGTAAGTGGTTACTTTTATAACTACCTAAATGATTACTTACACACCTACCAAACTACCAAGTGATTACTTGCATGCCTGCTTAACTACCTGTTCACGTACTTACCTAACTACCTAATTACTTAAATACGTACCAAACTGTCCAGCTACCTTTCTTCCGACCTACAAATTTGCCTAACTACCAACCTACCTGTCTTAATCGCTTCTCCTTAGCCCGCTAAAGTGCCAGATGTCTATTGCCAGTCAGTTGAAGTTTGAAGTTTGAACAACAGAACAACCTCATTACACACGGGTAGTAACCCATAAGTGCTCCGTTCTTCTTCTAACTCAAGTCTGAGTCCAAAGAAGTTCAGCACAGTGCAAAGACTCTGTAACACCGGCGAGGATCCTGGAATACTTTGGGTAGATTTTTAATTCTAAATTTTGCTCGGGCAGCGCCGGTAGGCTACTCTTTTCGATTTCGAACTTTCCAGGGAATTTTTTACGTGCGCAACAATACACACGGGGGTCTGATCTCACTACCCAAAGACCAGGGGGAATTACTATGTCAGTCAGTTTATGGATCAGTCGATCTGACTGGATGTCTAAGTCTCACATTACTATACTAACGCAACTGGCAACAGTGAGACTAAATGAATAAGCATTGATTAACCTTCATATAAAGTAAATGTTAAGAACTATGAATCACGTGGTTAAGTATAAACTAGGCTAGACGCTCGCCTACGGATCCAAAGGTCGGTGGTTCAAATCCGCGCGGCTATATTGTTTTTCAGACAAGACCATGGCTCCCAGGTTGACCCAGCCCTAAATGGGTACCAAGTAAAATCCAGGGAAGTAGAGGCGGCCGGCGTGATGTTGACCACATTACCCAGCGATTGGACTATAAAGATATGTCTAGTCTCATTTGCCCAATGCACAACTGGCGTGTAAAGGAACTTTACTTTTTACAATGGGGACAAAGGTGGTTTGGAAATAGTTTGTTGTTAAAAGCCACCCAATGAGCTGTTTGGGAACCGCCGTAACACAGTGGCTAGATGCTCGCCTGTAGATCCAAAAGGTTTTACAGCTTTTAGCTGTTAGCCCCATCCGTGATTCACATCACAAGGGTGATAAATAAACATGTACAAATCCCAGACACGCCGTTCAACGGACAACTATAAATCAGTTAGGTGGAGTACCATAAATGGTTGCGAAGTAACCTCTAGTCCATTGTAGGCGGTGCCTAAAATAGGTAAGAGGAAATGGCATGTGAAGTAAAGGCGACCGATGTGATGTTGGTTACACCACCCTAAGAGTGTTAATTTGTCTAACAAAATCCGTCTAGCACAACACGCCTAGTGCACTACTAGTGTGATTTCGGTCTGTTGTTTACTTACTGAAATTAATGAACTTTTTTAAATGTATAATTTGTGAAAGTTGCTGTTAAGCAAATTTGTCTGAGTATTATTGAGGCATACTATGGAAGTAGACAAAACATGAACAGGTGCCGAATATTGCTGAATAAAACACAAGTAATTAGCACACGCAGACAACAGAAAAGGAGAACATTATGTCTGCATATGACAGCAACATCTTGTAGAAGGAACTGCAGTTGTATTTTTTTAAATGTTTTGTGGATGGAACTACTATATCGCGAAAGTATTCTATTATTTTATTCCGTTTGTCTTTATTTTTGGGTGCTTTTTTTACGTGTTTCATTGACGATGGTATTTTTTCCCTGCCGAACAGGTTGAAAAACATGGCTCAAGTATTTTGTCCTGAGTAGATTGTCATTCAATTAATAATATTAATAAATTTATAGATGACACGGGAGCTAAGCCTAACTTTCAACAGCCGGCCGGGACATGTTTCGTTGCCAGTCAAAGCCGAACGCCCTCCCATAATGAAGCACTAAAACGGGAAATGTACGGAGAAACGTTGACCTCAAATTCGCATTTTGTTCATGGCCAGGCAACAGGACGTGAGACGTTTGCTTTGTCCCCGCAGATTTCGTCTTTATCGTCACTCTCTCAGGTGAGTTAAGATAAACTACAAGTGTGAGTTTTAAGAAATATGCATTTTATACTGTTTAACTTTCCCTCTTTGAATTAACAAGTCTTTTAAGGTAAGCAAAGAGTTGTTACACTGAATACTAACAAGCATTTGGAGGGCAATGAATCCACATCACTTGCTAGAATGCTAGACTTGGGGGTTAAGATCGGCATAACAAAAGAAGAGACGCGCACCCAGCACATCAGAGGACTTGTCAAAGTGAAACTGATACTATTAGCCACCGGATGCTGGGGTTCATAATGAGGGGAGGATCTGAGCACCTATGGATATGTCCGGAATGCCATGATGATAACCCAACTAACTAACTAGCTAGCTAACTAACTAACTAACTAACTAACTAACTAACTAACTAACTAACTAACTAACTAACTAACTAACTAACTAACTAACTAACTAACTAACTAACTAACTACTAAACATGTCGTATCAAATAACTAAGGATAGTGTTGTTCTTGAGGTTAACTACCAGATACCATAAAAATACCTACAGTTTATAGGGAAGTAGAATAATAACAAGGTGGGAAGATAAAATCAGTGAAACTCTCCAAGAGAACGAAATGTCTTTGGTTAAGGCTGCCAGAATACCAGGATCCAATAAATTGTATTTTCCCCGATGCCAAAAGCTGTAAAAGTGAAACTGAAGAAGAAGCAAGGAATTGCCTAAAGGATAAAACGCAAAGACAGAATTATTAATCAATACATTAATTCTTTGTCTTCCTCGCGTTCACCGTTTGTAAACTCAAGTGGAAAGTTGGGGTTGTTCATCCACTTGTAAACTTTAGTCTTGTTAGAGAACTTAAATTTTGCGTGCATGTACGTTTTACGGATTTAGCTTATTTGTATGCAGACTGTTTGTTACTGGCCTTTCAGGCAGATGCACTGCTTTCAGGGAAACAACCCTAATTAGTCGACTATTACGAAACTTAAAGGGACCAACATTGATATTTCCAGCGAATAAAAAAAAAAAGAATAGACCAAACAGTTAGTCAGGACACAGTCACACGATCGAAGATCTGTTGCCAGTATAACAAACCTAGAGATCTCTTTCTTCAATGTCCTAATGTGTTTTATTGTACAATGTTCTATGTATGCAGACGAAAATTTGGGTATGTTTAAACACAATATTCTGTTGTTTAAGTGGGCCAAAGAAATAGAGGAAAAACTAAAATTGATGTTTCAGCATCTACGGAATTCTGAAGACAGAGAGTAGAAAGAAAACGCAGGAATGAAAAGTGACATGGGTTGAGATGAGGGAAAAAAGCAGCAGAAACGGACATCACTGGTGAATGTTTTATGTGTCGACAACATCATGAAGAGAATGTGGATATATTAAATTTACTTTTAAGATAAATGAAAATAAATTGATACTGTATTAAGGACCTGAAGAGAGCTGCTTTATTTGGCAACATTTTTGGGGGATTAGCGTCAGACGATTAACAGGCTGTGTTGCAGCTGACGATACACACCAGCAAAAGAAGAATATGGCACAATAAAAATTAATTAATGCGCTCTTTGTAATCAAACCAACACAGTATACGAATCCTTACTGCACTCCATATAAACATCAGAAATACTTCTACACTAAAACTAACATCAGGGTAATTTTTGTTTACGTTAATCCCATGTATATTTTAAACGCAGGCTATGACATCCAATGGCAATCTACTGCTAACGCCACCTGTGTCTCCGGTTACGGCCAATCCAGCCATCTCTCGATCCAGTGTCATTACACAGGGACCTGCTGCTACATTCGCTGCGTCGTCGCAATCGCCTGCAGCAGCGTCGTCATCATTTACGTATCTTGGTAAGAGGAGTACACACTTGAAGAATTCCTGTATTCTAATGAAATATGTTCTTTTTTTTTCCTTCTCAGCAGATTCGTTATATTGGTGGAAACCTGTTGTAGGTTAGTTAAAGGGAAACTATGGATTTCATAAAATTGCCCAGCGGGTATATGGTGCCAAAAAAAAAATATTGTTACAAACCATCCCATACTCCTTATGGTTATGTGGTAAACATCATACCAGCTGTCATTACAACAAATTATGGAGAGAACAAACCAGCAGTAAACATCCACAAGACTCATCGGCAGAATCAACATGAAAACAATATACAAAAATTTTATGTCTGAGAATAGGACACTACGAGATCATTTACCACATGCATAAAATAAAGAATGTACAGTCCCAACGGTGTGCACGTCAGACGGGGCAACAAGCACCTGATCACATTCTGCAGGTCTGCCCACTGTTCTTACAGATACGAAGGAACACAGCTAGCCTCAAAAGAAAATTGTGCAGAGCAAGTTATCGGGAATTATAGAGTACATGCAACCGACACAAAAATTCATAGAAGAAAACCACCTGACTGTCGGATTTGAGCGTACGAAATCGAGGGCCAGGAGAAAGAAAACGACCGTCTTCACTTCACAAGGCATTTAGTGCTACCCATATAGGCTGGGAAGATATTGGAGCCTCGGTCACTATATTAAAATATGTTCCTCTGGGATGGTTTGAAGCCAAGACTTCTATTCCGGCAGGAATATGTCTAGTTTCTGCCCTACGTCTGCTTCCTGAACGTATTCTTATTGTATCCTGAACCCAGGTTAATTTTGTATTTGAAGTATACATTTTTCCTCTTCTTTTTTTGAGCATTGCTGTTTTCAACTATTGCATTTTCAACCAGCCTGCTAGATCTGTCCTATTATAATTTCTTACTACAATTTATCCAACAGTAACAAAGGATTAAATGGTTTGGTCACTGAGTTAGAAAAAAAAAGGGGGGGGGGCGGGGAGGGGGGGGAAGCTAGCAGATAGAGCGTACTACATGCAAGCAACAGGCTGGAAATCAAGAGGCCAACCAAGAAAGATAATGGTGGAGGTAGGGAGTAAGGAAAAGAGACAGAAAGGCAATATGGCATCAACTCAAGCTACGCAACTAGGCAAAGACAGGAAACTACATCTAACTACTTCCTGAGACGCTTTACGATACAAGCAGTAGGACAACAGAAGAAGAAGAAGAAGAATATATATTTGCCAGTTTGATTTCTTTTGCAATAACAGAAGAAGAAGAATATATATTTGCCAGTTTGATTTCTTTTGCATTTATTAGTTCTTAAAAATATTTATATTTTCTGATCTTTCTATGGCACAGTATATTTCTTACATTTTGAAAACCCTTAGATTGTTTCAAACAGTTATTCTGCAACTGCCTTATGTGTCTTCTCTTCTTCGCGTTCACCGGCTGCACATTCCGGAGGAAGGTTTTGGTTGTTCGTCCACTTCTGGACTGTAGTCCTGTTCCAGAACCTGAGTGCTGCGTGTGTATCCATTTGACAGATCTGACTGTATGCAGACTGTTGGCTCCTTGCCTCCCAGGCAGATGCACTCCGACTTCGAGGGAAGCTCCCAATTAGTCGACTCTTACGACATGCTGCTGGGTAAGCAGTGGGTATATTCTTGTTTTCCTTACAATAGGGCCCCGGAACCCACACGGGGACCTCATGTGTCATTATCTCCATTCTTGAAACTCCTATTAGAATTGTCAATGTCCACATTTCCACAAAATTTGTTCTGCACTCTAAGCTTTTCAAACGTCATCGCGTTCACTGCTTTTATCAGTGCAGAAAGTGCATCATCATCATCCTCATCATCAAGTGCCTTGCTGACTGGCATTGGCGATAATGCCTCTCAGCTATCTGTGTGGTCTTAAACAGCATGCATCAGTTCGTATGCTGACACATCTCCTTGCCATGACAAAATGCTGTCAAGAATCTTCTCGCTTTGTCTTCATCTGTCTTTTCAGTGGTCCGGACTTGTATCTTCCTCCGGTGGCACTGAACATGCCCAACTAAATTAGGCTCTTTTGTTTTGTTACATCTTTGTTCTTTTAGCCGTGTCACTCTTTTATAAAATGCAGAAGTCCACAGTACAGTGTTGTTTTCTAATTTGGAGAACATTTAAAGCAACGTCAATTTTTGAAACAGTTGAATGACATATGGATGTATAAGAAATTGCTTCAGTAAACATGACTTGGTATGCACTTTGAAGAATTGCTGTGGCAAAAGAGACCTCTATTCATGACAATTCTCGCCAAAGTGATGTGATTATCTATAAAGATGGCTCTGTGTTTAGGGGCATTATTATCGGACATAAATGGACATGATGGGATGACAGGCACACACACACACACACACACACACACACACACACACACACACACACACACATATATATATATATATATGTCGGCTCTGTGGCTAAGTCGATGCGAACACTTCGCTTCGAAATGCCGGGATACCGGGTTCGATCCCAATTGCGGGCAATGCGCCTTGCGTTGGTTTCGACAGTGGTATCAAGAAAGCCGACCGTCCAGGAAGCAATGGCAAACTACTGGACGTAAATTTACCAAGAGAAACCACACAACAGCCAGGGGCTGATAGGGTTGGTTCTGCAACGTCCTGTAAAGGATACGCAACTAACTTTTTCAATATATGTATACATATATATATATATATATATATATATATATATATATATATATATATATATATATTCAACAAATAATTTAAAAAAAAACGTATCATGCCTTCAGACATATTGCGCATACAGCGCTAGACCTATATTTTAATGACCAGTCGGCACTCTAGGCTGAAACGAAAAACAAAAATTCTGGCTCTGTCTGGACCCAAACCGACAACTCTCTGATTTGTAGGCAAGTGGCTACCCACTACAGGACGGTGGCTCCCACAGATATTATGGACCTATTGTAAACCACGTCTCAATTTCCAGCCGACCTTTCAAGAGCGCACGCAGAAGAAGAATTAAAATACTGTTCCACTTACCAGTCATGATTATTCTACATATAATAAATTGCCTAACTTTAGCATATTAATTCTTTTCTCACCGTAAATCACTTTATTTAATTTCTTTTTTTTCAAATCTGTGTCCTTAAACTGTGTTATTTAAACTCATAAACTGGCTAGATCAGTGGCTCGCAAGCTTCCTAATGCGGCCATCCTTAAATACAGTTCCTCGTGTTGTTGCGACCCCAACTATACAATTATATTCGGTGCTACTTCATAACTTCAGTGAATATTTTTTTTTAAGGATGGTATTTGGTGACCCGTGTGTAAGGCTCGTTCGACCTACAAAAAAAGGTCTGCCTAACATTAAAATAGTTACCGGCAAAAGTGGACACTGATGTTTATGATGAAGACGCAGAAGAAAAAAAAAGGTTTTTTTTTCTTCTCTATTTTGCCATCATACTTAAAAGCTCTTATCACTCACACTGTTATTACGTAAAGCTGCAAAATCTGAGTTAAAATAAATCATAAATTTCAGGTTCTGAAGGAAATGAATACACAGCCAGCTCTAACCAGACAACACGTTATGCGGCGAACTTTAACACAGGGACTCCTGTTAGCACCTTCCGCAACCACCATTCAGCTGTTACTGGCAGCAGCCATAACCCCAACAGTACCAGTAACAACAACACTAACACTACTCCAGAGACTTCTAGCACTAGTGGTAGAAACGCCACCACTTACGTTTCTCCAGTATGCAACTACAACAATTGTAACTCACTGGGAGGTGTCTACAGCTCACACCCTTACCATCCAGGCAACTTCCTTTCTCATCACCCTGGTGGGTTTACAAGCAGTCTTTACCATCACCAGTCGCAGTATGGGTCCAAAGCAGACATCGATCACACACATAACGCACACTTTAGTTCAGCTTATCCTGAAGCATCCCAGTACTACAGCGAGGTTCCTCACTACTTCTCTCCCTTTTGCCATGCTCCGTCTATGCAGCACGGGTATTCAGTGAGTGGAGGAGGCAGTCCGTTAAGTGGTCTGGGTGGAAGTGTCTCAGTTGGTAGTCTTGGAGGAAGTTCAACCCATGCAGGAAGTGCCTTTAATATTGTGCAAAGTCAGCATTCTGGAGGCAGTGTATACAGCCAACCACACTCAGCATACCAGAATCCGGGTAAGTTTAATTATAATGTTCTTCATATCTTCCTTTTCAGTGTTTTAGGTGTACAAACACAGGCTTGTAATATCTCAATGGGATGTTCTTCCTTTAACAGTGTTATTCCTTTTTTTTTTTTGCCCTTTTTATTCGTTGTGAATAAGAGGGGGGCTGCGTGTCTCGAGTGCTAGAGGTTCCGGGTTCAACCGGTTAGGGTTGGGATTTTTTCACGTGGACTTTGACTTCTAGTAATTCCCCCTGGTCTCTGAGTAGTGAGATCAGACGCCCTTGTAAACATTATTGCGCACGTAAAAAAAAAAAAATTCCTTGGCAGTTGGAAATCGAAAAGAGTAGCATAACGGCGCTGCCCGGGCAAAATATGGAGTTTAAAATCTACCCAAAATATTTTAGGACCGTCACCTGTGCTACAGAACCTGTGCACTGTGCTGAGTTTTTTCGGACTCAGACTAAAGTTAGAAGAAGAACGGAGCACTTATAGGTTACTACCCGTGTGCCATGATATTGATCCGTTGTTCAAACTTCAAACTTCTTATGTCTTCCTTTTACAGTCGTTCAAATGTTTATACAACAATCCGGCTTATCAGAATTTTCTGAATGTCACATACAAAAATGTCGGCACGTCTAAACAAAATGATCTTTATTTTTTCCTGTTACAAATTATATCATCATCATCATCATCATCATCATCATCATCATCATCATCATCATCATCATCATCATCATCATCAGGTGCCCTGTCGACTGGCGTGGGCGATCATGCCTCTTCATAATCTGCGATCTCCTGCAACATGTATTAGTTCGTGTACCGACACACCTCCATGCCATGCAACAAGACTGTCAAGCATCTTCTCTCGTTGTCTTCCTCTATCCCTTTTTCCACAGATCTTTCCAGTGGTCACAACATGTTCTATTTTCCCTCTTCTCATAACGTAGCCGAAAAATAATGACTGTCTCCTTGTCTTCGGGCTCCCGCCTCTTTCAAAACCTCTTGGTTGCTCTTTTTGGCTGTCCAAGGTATTCTAAGCATTCTTCTGTAAAAATCACATCTCTGAGGCCTCTGAAAATTGTTTGGCTGCCTACCGATTGTCCATGATTCACATCCATATGTTAAAACTGGATGTATGTAGCAAGCAAGAATTCTTTTTCTAACTCTCAATGACAAGGATATATTGCACAAGATGTTTTTCATTTTATAGAATGCAGTTTTTGCCTGTCCAATTCTGTTTCTTATTTCAGTTATGCATCTTCAATCTGATGTTATCCATGTGCCCAGATACCTAAATTTCTGTACTTGTCCTAAAATAACACCATTGACTTTTATTTATTACACATTTAGGAATAATTTGTTTCTTTGATACCACCATTACTTCTGTCTATCCAATATTCAAACTGAGGCCCATTCTTCAACTTTCTAACACCATAATATCTATCATTTCCTGTAATTCTTTTTGACTTGTTGCTATCAAGACTGTGTCATCACATTAGAATATTATAATTTGTATAATAATAATAATAATAATAATAATATATATATATATATACATACACATATGGGTAAGTGTAATCAGAATGCTGCTAATGTCAAAAGTAGAGTATGAGGGCCCACATGAGGCCTATTCAGGTCAAGACATAGAAGACGAATTGCCATCATGAAATGAATTCCCACAAATATTTTCAACAACATGAGATAGTCATTGTCATCCAGACAGGTCAAATAAAATAAGACATTAATAATAATAATGATCAAAATCTTATATACTCAACTCGTCTGTAGGGTTCGGAAACCTGGACAATAAACAAGTAATCAGAAAGTCAATAGTTTCTGGAAATGCGGACATACACAAGAATTCGTATTTCAATAGGGGGTTGAAAGGGGGGGGGGGGCAATTTGTTACTGAGATTGTCAAGAGAATGCAAACTGGAAATGGACAGACAGTGACTAAAAAAATGATTAAAAAAAAAAAATGAAATATTTTGAACATATGAAAAAGACATAAAAACAAAACTGCAGGGAAAAGCTGAAGGCGAGGAAGGAAGAAACTGACAGTTGTATTTGTTTATTTAATGAAATTGAAAAAAAAACATTAAATGCATAACATCGTTTGGTGTAGATTAACAGTTCGTTACTGTTACACCATTTAACGAAAACGCGTTTGTGTCATTAGATTAACCGGACAACCTATTGTTTACTTACCAACAGAGTACTTCCCAAATTCTGCATTCTCCACTTCTTCAAAACCCGTTGGGGAGCATATACCAGTTATCCAACAGCGTCGCCACGTTCCCTCCACACACTTTCACAATGAGGCTCGTGACCCACTAAATCTCTTGGACAAAACCTACCGCTCCAAAGACAGTCTTGGTGTATACAGTGGAATGCCTAAGGACTCCATGAGCATGTATGGAAGCATGACCAGTGGGAATTCGGGTAAGTAAATCAGTAAATGGACCCTTTACAACGCCTCTAGGCGTATTTGGCATTTAGAGCTAGATCTATATTCTAAAGACCAAAGGGCATTGGGTGGGTGATGTACTCAACATCACGCATGTTGCCTTTACTTCTCAGGACTGTACCTGGTACCCACTCAAGGTGAAAGCCAAGGTCATTTTTGAGAAAAATTCCGGGTCGGTCAAGACCCGAACGCACGACCTTCTGATTCGCAGTCGGGCGTCTAACCGCTACACCACCGCGACTGTCAAGTAAAACCGTATGGTAAGTGAAGAAGAGTTTTTCTGGATAATTTGAATAGCTGTGCTTTGATCTTCTGATCGGCTATGTTCTGGTTACAATCGAGACACGAAGACAAGAAAAGAAGACAAAGAAATTTTTTTTATTTAATTGATTAATTGCATTGATACCTCCCAGTGTGGATTTCGGGGCCTCATTTTAGAGGAAAGAGAATAGATTAACCTCCCTCTAAGAATCATGTAAATGCGAATAGACCCACTACACCCCCCCCCCTTTTCATAAGAATTATGTCTTAAAAATAGAATAGACCCACTGGCCCCAAAGAATCCTGTTGTAAAAAGAGAAAAAAAAACCACTATCCCCTAAGAATAATATGAAAACAGTATAGACCCACTACCCCTAAGATTCATGTCGTAAAAAGAGATTAGACCCACTACCTCCTAAGAATCATGTCGTAAAAAGAGATTAGACCCACTACCCCTTAAGAATCATGTCGTAAAAAGAGATTAGACCCACTGCCGTCTAAACATCATTCGGTAAAAAAGGCGACCATTTAGGGGTGTTTTATTCAAAATCGAAAAGCATCTGTCTGAGAGGTGAGGAATCAACAGTTTGCATAGAATTAAGCCAGATTTGTAAACTGGATATGCACGCAAAACTAAAACTCTGTGCAAAAGACTGAAGTCCAGAAGTGGACGAACAACCAGAGCATTCCACCAGGGTTTACAACTGGCAAACGCTAAAAAGAAGAGACTGATACCTTGTAACTATGACTACAAATGAAAACAAAAATATTTACAATAAGCTTTTATTTAGCACGCATGCCATTCGTGTATTTTTAACCCTTACATGTCGTTGATGGAAGTAGCTGTGGTGTAACGGCTAGAGCCTTACCTCCGGATCGGAAGGTCGTAGGTTCGGGTCCTGACGGAGCCAGATTTTGTTTTTTCAAAAATGACCTTGACTCCCAGTTAGACCTAGCCACCAATGGGTAGCAGATTCAGTACTGGGAAGTAAAGTAGGCCATCATGATGCAGAAAACATTATCTACCAAGTGCCGATTGGTCTGTAAAATATAGGTCTAGATCTATGTGCCCAAGACACCTACAGTTGGGGAAAAGGGATCCTTTACTTACATGTCGCTGTTGACACGCATGTATTCACAGGTGATATCCATTTATGCTGTATGCTGCTTTTCTGTCTGTGGTATCTCATGTCAGTTTGCATTCCTTTATTTCTCTTTTACTGCCCCCCCCCCCTTTTCCCCTCTCCCCCGGATTTCTTTTCGTTTACATCTCCTTCTCTTCATCTGCCGTCCGCTGGAGAGTCGTCCTTGCCAAAGTATCAATAGACATTCTACAAACTTACCCAATTCATCCCCATCTTTGTCACATACCACTCCTGTCACGTGCCTGATTTAAGGATTTCTCCTTAAGAACCAACAGCACTCCGAAATAATTATGTTGAATCGTTTGGCTCGTATTGGTCTAAGGGATACCCCGTGGCCAATATACGCTCAACTTATTTCTGGAGCAGGGCAACTCAAGTTTTGGCACTACAAAATATATATGTATATGAATACAATATTCCTAGGCACACTTGGCTGGACACCCTTACTACTATAAAAAGAAAGCCCCCAGGTTATGATAGTTTACTATCATAACCATGTTAACACATATAACATTTATGGTTCATACACACAACAATGCTAAACACTTAAAAAGGTGAAATAGAGACACCTAAGTCAGCCATGAAAATGAATGCATGTAATCAATACTACATATACATAAAATAGTGAAGAGGACACCAGATCTCAGTGGATGGATCCCATAAAACAGTGACTCGACTCTGATATTGAAACAGCCCGAAGGTCTTGACTAGCACCACATTGTCATCATAGGAATCTGTGGAGCTGTGGGGAGTAGAGCATGACATAGAAACAACACTGGCACTTATCAGAGTTCTCTTGTTGATGCTCCCCTCAGTCCGTGGTGATAACGACTGTAGTTGGCTCTAGTAGTTCTGCTTCAAATGGATCTTGTCATAGAGGAGTACCTCACCATCGAGGACACAGAAACTGTATAGGGACTCAGCAAGTCTCTCCGACAGGTCAGGTCACAACTCTGTCTCTGAGCTCCACCAAGCTCCTGAAGACTGGTACACTCGAGCATGGATATACTCTCTGCAAATGTTCGCCTGCTCTGGAGTTCACTCACACGCTCTGGCCATGTTAAGGTGATGATTGTATATGGTACTCTGATGCTTCCAGGTACATTCAAAGGTGTTAGCTGGTGGATAGTTGGTAGGACTGCGATTAATCTGCCAGCTCTTTACAGAGGTTTCATCCTGTCAGGAAAGAACTCAGAATTAGTAATCACCAAGAGGGTATCATCTTGACAGGAAAGACTCAGAATAAGCAATCAGTTTCCATCCCACATCAGCCTACTCCACCTCTGCTCCTCTGTATCATTCCTCAGAGTGTACTCTCAAGACCAGGAGACAATGTCTCCTATCATTTGTCTGTCTTGTGCAAGAGATGGAAAGTCAGATATAAAGTGGAGATAGATAGACACTCTCACATGTATCTCAATCTCCCTCCCCCTCCCATCTGCACACAGACACCAATGTTTACAGTCAGTACCTATATCCCCTCCGACTCTCAGGCCATTCAGTACACACTCATTGATTTGTGTCAAACACACTCAAAGCAACGCGCTGGCCACCGACAGAACTGACTTATTCTCCGTCCCCATTAGTATTGCACAAACTTCTGTTGTTAGTTTAAATGGTAACCGCTTGTAGGTTTAGTATTTTTACCAATGTGTGTGGGTTATTTAGGGCACCAACTATTTAGTCTGTACAGAAGAAGGTCTAAGTTCGGACCGGGTTCTCTGGAGATCAAAAACGGTCGAACTATGTGCGATCACATAGCCAAGGCCGGTATATTTACAGCAGCGACCTTTTTCCAGACATCATTTAAGGTACTCGTAAACTATAATTAACTTACCCAAGCATAGGAAAAGTCCTTGACACTACAGGCCGCCTTCTCAAAGTAAAAATGTTAGGCGTCGATGAATACATCTTGGTTCTAGGAATGCCGGCAGAAGAATGCCCGCACAAAATCAAGCTTGTCGTCGGTAAGAAGTTCCTGGTTTAAATGAGCAAGGAGTAAACCGGTTTCCAGGAATAGTCAATTATAATCCTAGAAATGGTTAACCTACAGTTGCAAATTTGAAAATGACGATAAGTCAAGGCAACTAGAAGGTGTAGACATCATTTTTTTCTCCAATAAAGGTATAGATCAATATAAGGGACTATATACCTTTCCGGACGAGTCCAAATTTGAAAGTTTTTGCCGAGCGGGGTAATACCAGGTCCCGACTCGGCTAAGATTATGTGTAGTGGCGTGTCATTCCTTGACAATCTTCTTCCTCTGTTAACGTTTGCCAGTGAAGAATATTTTTTTCTCATACTCATTTCTTCATTTGTGATCATTTCTGGCCAAAAGTTTCTCAAAATTCTATATAATCATTAATTGTGAAAACTAGTTTATGCGTAAATTCTTGCTGTCATTTTCTGAAATTCATTGTTGCAAAATATTATTCCTAAATTATCGCTTCTGTCTAATTCTGAATTGTGTCTTCAAAGTGAGACCCTTTAGCTTCCATTAACAGCAGATCCTCGATTTTCCAGCTCAAAATTATCCAGACTTCAGTAATGAAATATGGAAGAATTTACTTTGCCAAGTCCTTGTAAGCGTTTTTCATGATGTTAAGTTACTTTCTACCATAATGATCTATCAGCGCCTCTGTACTGTTCACCGGTTTCCAAAGCGCCCTCGCAATAACTAACTTGTCATACATCAATTCACCACCAAGTGATGAAGAACCAATAGTCCATCTGCTTGCTCATTTCCCAACACACCGGCATAACCTGTAAAAAATATCCAAAGAATGGTAGCTATTTTTTTTATCCAAAATGGGAACTTTGGTGGTAAATTTGACAAACGTTGCTAGACAAGTTTGAATAGATCAATCAATACGCCTTTGAAGACTGGAATTGGCAAACTATAATACGCAAATGGACATGTAATACATTGCGAAATCAGAGTTGTGAAAAAAAAAAAAAAACAGTTTACATTAACCAACAAAGGAGGTAGGTCCCACGTCGACCAAGCCTGTAATTGGTGCCAGGTAAAAGCTCTGGGAAGAATAGGCGGCGTACAGGATGTTGACATATCATCGACCAAGCATGTAATGGGTGCCAGACAAAAGCTCTGGGAAGTATAGGCGGCGAACAGGATGTTGACATATCAAATGTTGACCTTTGCTGAATGAAAAGAGTCATTTGTTAAGCAAAGAACGTTGTGTTCAGCTAACAATAATGAGACTTAGAATACGACACACAAAAAATGCAACACTAAAATGACTGTATTAGATTATTATATAAATAAATTACTTTGCCAAGTCCTTGTAACCGTTTTTCATGATGTTAAGTTAGACATTATGAATTTCATCCTAAAATGTAAACATATGGACTTCCTTTTTTCCGTGATAAATGCTTAAAACATACAGTACAAAAAAATTAGAAACATTTATGAAGTAATCACCTGTACTAAGAGGCCAGACAATATGAATAATGGCAGGTTTTGGTATTTAAAAAAGGGGTATTCTCTAATGATATGGGTGGGGTGGAAACTTATTAAAACTCCGCCATATCTAGCTTTTTGTCATCCAGCCTACCCTCCGCCACATTAGGTATATAAGCGACCCGATATGGTATACCTGATATTGCAGATTTTACTGCATTGATAAGCATGCCAATGTTTATTCTTGTTGTTTTATTCTTGTTTTTCTTATAATCGACTTGCATTGGCAAAATGTGAGCTATTATCTCAGACAAATGAATCAACTATTAAACATACACATATTAGGTAATTATTAAAGAATTATTCAAGTGAACTGTGACTAAAAGGCTTAACGAAATGGGGAAGCAGAAAAACATGCACAAAACACAAATCGACTTTTCGGCCGAGTTTTTTTTTTTCGACATAAGTTAGCACATAGTTACCCAGGCGTCCTCTTGCTCTTACTTATTATTTAAGATATACAATTGTAGGAGGATTTTGTAAAGGGAATTATTATATCCTTACTATCGAATAAACATCAGATTTGTATCTGTGTTTAGTGAGATGTCTTTCATATAAATGCTTATATCATGAAACTCTTGTTTAAAATATGTATTAACAGTGCTCCTTGTAATGTGAAATAATGCCGGCTGTCTTATATTTCACCAGACTGACAATGTTTTGCCTGTTTCCAGGGCATCCTCACAGTCAAGGCATTGCTCACTTCTCGGGAGAGGATTACTTCCCTGGCATGGGACTTGGCATGGCGTCAATGGTTGCTGCAGATTCTGACATGTACTCCCCTTACTCTGAAAGCGGAGCTCACCCAGCCCTCAACTCTGTATTTCTTTCTTGAGTCAACGTTTGTAAGCAACACTACAGACGCGATTTAAAAAAAATCATTAAGGATTTGGTGTGCGCCACATTACACATTTCTGCGGCCCCGAAAACAAAGGGGTCTAAGCCCCATCTTGTTCAGACACCCTGATACACGACATAGTTTTTTTGTACACTCAGTACCAGCGAACAGAAACAACTTAGTCGTGGATCTGACAAGTTTGAAAAATGGATTTTAAAATTGCAGAACATATGTCAGTTTTGTTGTTGTTTTTTGTTTGAAAGTCAAAGGGGCGGTTTTTAATCGGGAGTTTATTGTTAAGCTCTATACATTAATTCGATAGACAGACGAGGGTGGGTATACAAGAAAAGAATCGTAGTGTGGAAGGTGGGACCATGGAGGAATAGCAAGAAGTATGGATCAATAAACTAGACCGAAGGAAAAAAAAAACACCGACCAAATGAAAGACTGAAAGAGAGATAGACAGAAAGAGAGACACACAAAGCGGCAGATGACTTAGACAGATAGACGGACGGATACATATCAAGTAAATATAGTCTGATTTGTTAGCATGTTAATAGATGAATTATACGTGTTCCTATGCGTTCTGCCAGTGTAGTTTCAGTGATGTTTCTTTCAACTGGTTTACATTCAAACATATTTGTTTAATTCGGCAGTTAAATAAGAAGATGAGACAAAATCAAGCGACCACTGATCAAAATGCGAAAATTTTCAAAACTGGTTACTGAGAGACAACAATCAAGTTAACCTATCGCATTATTTCTTCATTTAAGGCAACAGTAGCTCTAAAGGAGCTAGACAAAGTGCAAAATCAAGCGCTAAGAGTCATTACAGGAGGGATGAAATCAACTCCCATATTAGAAATGGAGAAAGCTGGGAAAACACAGGCACTGAGAGAACGCAGAGATACAAAGTTGCAAATACAAGCTGAAAAGTTCCTCAGTATGCCAGATCACCCGATGGAAAATAGATTTAAGAACCTAGCCTTGGAACGGTTAAAAAGAAGCAGCTTTATACACCAAGCAAAAAAAAAAAAAAAAAGAATATGTAGACAAACTCCTGACCTTCCAGAAATTGGTTGCCCACTTAAAAGTACCGGAACAAACCCCATGGAGAGAAAAATGTAAACTAACGATACAAATCCAGACAAATGTGAAAGGGATATTTGACAAGAAAGAGCAAGATAGTGTACAACGCAGAATGGCCACCCTCAGTTATATTGATGAAGAATACCCACAAGAACAATGGGTCAGAGTCTATACAGATGGGTCCGCAGAAAGTGCAGTTAGAAATAGTGGCGCTGGAGTGTACATCGAATTCCCAGATGGTACTAGGGATAAGTCCAGCGTACCAACCGGGAAGTACTGCCATAACTACGATGCAGAAACCCAGGCTATCAAGATAGCTACAGAGAAACTGCTAAATACCAACCTTGGCTCACAGTATGTGGTAATGCAGACATATGCTAAATCAGTACTTTAAGCACTCCAGTCTAGGAAACTACCAGAATTGCAAACACTGCTGACACAACTCAGCGTTCAGCGAAGAGTCGTAATGCAATGGATACCGTCGCATTGTGGAGTGCCTGGAAATGAGAAAGCTGATCAACTGGCAGGGAAAGGTGCGACTAAAGAGCAGCAGGATGTACCAATCACATACCACCAAAAGAAAAGAATCATTAAATCGATCAGGAAACCACCAGCCCCAGCACAAGACGACTATTTTATTATGGACAGACCAGAACAAGTCATTATCCTCCGCCTCAGAACAGGGCACAACCGATTACGTAACCACATGTACACAAAATTCAAGATAGGTGTATCAGCCATGTGCACCTGTGGAAATGTGTCCCAGACAGCAGAGCATGTACTCCAGGACTGCACAGATTTTGACACATTAAGGCAAACCTTTTGGCCAGAAAGAACAACAGTGGAACGTAAACTCTATGGACCACTGAATGAACTAACAACGACGGTGAAATTTATTCAAGAGACAAAACTGCTGATATAGACAACTTATTTCAGGCGAAAGAAAGAAGAAGACGTATTTTTTTTCATTCTTATAATATTTAAGTTTAAACTTTTGTCAGTGCAAGCTGGAGACAAAATGCAATTCTGGAGGAAAAATGAATATTAGATGGATAAATACAAAACAGTTAAGGAAATTATAGAAATATCTGGACAACCAATGATATTAATATAGGGTGCTCGTTTAATGACTGTAGACTTGTTGAAATCCATTATTTGAGCACGGTAATTGCATGTGTTTATTACGTCACATTTCAAGCTCCATGTAACCTTTAGTGTAGAATATAAATACTACATACCGGTGTTTTACTAATTGATCTTAGTTATACGGGTGTTAACTATTAAAAAAGAGTGTTTTTGGTTGAGCATGAGTTCCTTAACGGTTGCAGATATTTTAATGTGTTTGTTCAACTATGATATAAGAAATTAAACCAGCAGAATCGATTGTGAATAGAGCTGTGTGACGTAACGGCCCACTCACCTTGTTATTACAAAACTTTAGGGTGATGTAACAGGTCGTGGGTTCCCTGGATTTGGGTTTTAATGAATTTTCTATGTTGAGTAAGGATTTTTCCTCTCAACACATCTCCTCCACTAGGTTAACTGAACTAATATCCGGGCTATTTTGCTCTCAGACAAAGTCCTGGATATCTAAGAAAACAGTCATATTGGCTTGTTAATTATTTTAACATTAGCTGCACTTGGTACCCACGAGAGAAGGAAATGGGTTTTAGATGTCTACATATATTATTATATTAAATGATTTACTAGACAGGGCAGTTGACCCATTCCGTCGACCTTCCCTTGGTAAAGAATTAGTATTATTATTATTTAATGAGCCCCCACCAAACGCTATTCTATCTTAACAGTTTAATTAAACATGTAAGGACAGGCACACTTGGAATTATTAAAACTGATGCAGAATAAGACCATATAATTGATTTATTAACCTAGCAATCATTTTGGTGATTTATTTTTAGTCAATAGTGATGGTATGGTGGTAATGAGATACTTCAGCTAACTGAGTACCTAAGATTAGAGTGAAGTGATAATGGTGGTGTTTAGTTACATAAATACATGTTACATAACTTTTAGAAAGCGGAACCTCTGAGAGTCCTCGTGGTGAGTCCCTTCTTAGCTGTTCCAATTTTTCCGCCCAGTTCTCCTGGTTCCACCTGGTTCTTCCACCTGCTTCCCAGCTGGCCGAGTTCCAACACAATGTAGTCTCGTGACCGTGATGACCCTCTATTTCTGTTCTTAGAAAAGACTGATCGTCACGTGGAAGCTGTAATCATGGAAACAAACTTATACGTGTAGTATCTTGACTTACACTAAGAATACATGTATCAATTAATAAAATATATAACAATACATTATATCTCATCACACTTCCTCATATTCCACATTCTCTCCAGTCTGGTCTGAAGGTCTTTGTGTCTCACACCGACGTCTAACCTATCCTGCCTTCCTTTTTAAGTCTGTTGTCCGTCATCACTCAGACTTCCAACTGGCTAACATTGATTTGACATAAACATGTGGCGCAGGTTATGTGCTGAACACGCAAAACATTTTATACGTGCATGCTGTCCTGAATATTATCTTTCAGTGACAGTGAATTCCACACACCAATGATTCTTCCCTGGGGTTATAAATCCCCTGTTTAGGTGAACATATTAAGTGAGCACATGGTGGGCGCACAAAATGTAACAGCATGGCTGCATATATGTGGGCATCATTTCCCACAGTCAAAACTCATGTTTTGGTTAATGGCTGAAACATAATTTCATTACATTTCAGTATACAAGTCTTATTTTATATACATGAAAACATACACTGAAAAACATGTGGCACAAACATACAAGAAATAGAAATGGTTTAGCAGTTCCCTAACTGAGAAACTGAATACTCACAAAGAACTATTTCATGCAGAATGTGTAGACAATTCAGGAAAAGGTAGAATAGGCTTAGCTAACTCCCTAACCTATGTATAAAAGATTGAAAATAATTGTACAATCTTACCTGGGACATTCCAGCAATCGCCAAACCAGAATCAAACAATTAGAATTACCTTTAATGTCGACCTCTGTTTGTTGCTCGTGGCAGCGATTGTGACGGGAATTCCTGGGGCCAGTCTTATTAATACCTCTATCTGTCTGCAATGTTAAACTCCTCCCCTTACTACGTTCCCAACCCTCAAGGAGATGCCCTAAGCCACGCCCCTGAGGTACCTTGCAAATCAACATAGCTATAAATTGGCCTGTCACTCAAAGTATGACCTTGACCAAGATCAGACATTTCTAATTGGGAAACATCTGTTCTCCTAAGAATTTCACTGACATGTGTGAAACTCCAGCCACTGGACGCCATCAGGTCTACCAGTCCACTCAATTCCCCTGATCTAGTCTGATCAAAAGGCCCTACTCAGTCTGTGTTATGTAACCTTTATGACACTAAGGTCGGGTTCAGGTGAGATAATCTCAGGTGGGATACTAAGTTATTTCCCCCTTTACTCGCATCTACAGTCTGTGGGCAGGAGATAGTTTTATTACACTGGCTGGTGAAACGAATCTCTAAGGTAGTAATAGGTAATATTACAACAAGCGGGGTTGCTTTGTCTGGCGAGAGACAGGGAAACAAAGTTTAAACAATTTTCAAATCCCTTGTAGTGGTTTTAGAACTATTTTAGGCTAAGTGCATATTGCTTATAATTCTTTGTCCTTCTCTGAACATGAGAAGTTATTAAACACAATATAATTTCTGAGACCACTGAGGTCATTTCGTCAAGCTGTAATGTGGAAAACAGAACCAAAATAAAACCCTCTGTAGGAGTACGTTAACTCTATATATATTAATGCATAGAAGGTCTCAATTACATTTATATGGGGAAAGTGGATAGCAAGAGAAGCAAACGAAAGCACAGGAAAGACTTCTGTGTAAAGGTTGAGCAGACGGACGATATAAAACTATATA